GTAGTGATCCTATACGATCCTATCCCATGATATGGTCACTAGGTACTTCTTTGCCAAGTTATGCAGGCCTACATGTTGCTTGCAAAGTTACAGTACATGTGTGACATTTTCTTATGAGTAGGAACTGATCATTTTGTGAGTGAATGATATTTCATGTTGAGTTCAATGTTCATTCATGTTGAATCATGCTGGCTATTGATTGGCTGATGCTCAATTTTTTTTCCAAAGTTAGAATTGTTCTCAATTGTAAATAAAAGTTATATTATGAAAAAATGTTAGACTGGTACTAAAAAGTTGCATGTTAGAATTTTAAATATAATAAAATTATCTCCCTCTTGAACTTGAGAAATGAAAATTCATGATACAATCAAAGTTTATGCAGTCAACTTCAATGTGCATTCCAGCAGTTTCAGGCAGTTATGAGCATGGGTCATTGCCTGATTTGCAACAGACATTAGTGATCACTCTAACAGGCTATAACAGTACTGACTTTATTCAGGAGTTATGTGATAACTGTTATAACATGAAACAATATATTTTGAAATTGACCTTTTTCTTATACCTAACAGTCCGTAAAAATCTGTTTCATTTTCACTGATTGAATTGTGGCATTGAGATTTTTCTATTTTTTGTTGTTTTTATGTGGAATGAACTCAGTATTGTTAGTTTTCAGAGTGCAGAAAGAATTACTGTAACTGAAGGAATATTTGCAATATTGACATGTGCTTCACATTTGCAGAGGAGATTTATTGGTTCTCAATAATTGAGAAGAATGGATACACTTTGACTGAGCATTTAGGCAAAACAGCAAAAGGCTTTGCGAGGTGATAATGAAACCCCCTATCCCCCATGGTCATGGTCATGTCATTTTCATACAGTGTCAATTTTTGAAAATTTTCCAGAAGTAAGAACTTCTGTTACAGAAAAAGAACTAACATACAAAAAATGTTTCATTCTGTAGTTCTTTGGGAAAGTTGCAGTTGTTTTCCATTGTAAAAATGTTCTGGGTTACAGTACTTTAGTATTGCCTATGTCTTAGGTTATAATCTATCTCAATGTGGGAGAATCATGTGGGCATTGCTTCTCATAGGTATGCTGAGAATCTTCATTAGTTCATATGAAAGTGGATTGCTGAGTGAATTTTTCTATTCTGTCTTCTGAAGGAGGATGAATTTGATGTCTTGAGTGTGAATGAGCAGGGCTATTGATTGAGGTGGTTTGGTGTATATGACTTGGCATGTTTTTTGAAATTTTTTCTGTTATAATACATTTTTATGTTCTGGATCAATATGATGGATTTTTCATGAGGCACTTGTAAGCATGCTGCTAGATCAGTGGTATTTAAAGTGCAGCCCACTAAGAGTAACCAATAATTGACTTTTTCACTTTTGATTATTTTATTGGCACTCAATAATAATCATGATGAACACTGATTTAAATTGGAATCCTTCACTGAAAACTAGCAATTTTAGTCATTGTTTAGATATTCCAACACTTTAACACATTTGATGCTTAAGTATTTAGATGTTCCCCTTTGCCTAAACTTGCCTAAAATTCAGAGCATGCATATACTGCAGAGAAAAAATTATTTTCTCACAAGTGAAGTTAGGGAGAGAAAAAAAGGATATTTATCAGAAATACAACTTGTAACAAAGCAGCACCATTTTTTAAATTGGACTTCCTGGTAGCTAGATCAAGAGTTTGATGGTCAAGTCAAGTGGAAAGTAATTTCACTCAGTACATAAAATGCAATTATCAAATTGGAAGTATCGAAAATCGGTGAACGAGCACTCCGCACCCTGGAATCTAGCCAGGTGCATCACTCTGGCTCTCTAAAATGACAGCGCAGGCAGCAGGCGGTCTCACATATAAAATTGGTTTTCGTTAATTTTTATTTAAATTTGACAATGAACATAATGAAGTTATTTAAGCATGTTAATTGTTCGATGAGTTTTGAGTGTGATTCTTGATTGAGGGCCAATTATTCCGCAGTCTCAATATTTTCTGCATTTTGGGTACTATACGTCCTGCAGCTTCCACATTTCTACCAATCGATAGGGTTTAGGCTTTTTTTCTCAGCAATTTCTCAAAACCATGATGCGACCTATTTTTCCCCAAGGAATTTCTACGCGAACTGGCAAGAGCTGTACCTCTTTATCTCTCGCAAGCCTTCGTTCAGGTGCTATTCCTCTTCGCTGAATCCCATGATGTTCGATGCAATTTTGAACACTGTTATTCATGACCCTACAAAAACTGTAAGAATGGATTTAGACCTAACGCACTAAAGAAATGGTGATATATCTCCAGTTCTTCTGATTTCTTAAAAAAAAAAACGCAACCCGAACCTAAAGTAACCGAAAACACAGGGTAAGAAGTATTTAAAAAAAAAGTTTCTTCATTGCTTGGTGTGCATGCTCAGTCGTATTGGAGCGCACTTAAGGGATGCACCTGGCGAGAAGCAATAGGAAAATTGGTTCTTCGCTCACATTTTCGTTAGTTCGATTTATTATTATTATTACAGTTGAATCGCTTGTCTGAAATATTTCTTATTCATCTAAGATTTCATGCGATGGAAAATCTAAAGCACACGTGAAACTAGGAATGAGATACCTAACAATATAAAGTGGCCTCATTCTTTTTGAGACAGGGTAAGGGAGGGCGGAGGGGCACCATGGGCCACGGGGCACGATGAACTACCGCCTGCAGCACTAGAAGCTGCCATGAAATTCACATGCATGGCTCATCATACTAGTGCAAATTTATTCTAGTGATCTTTAGCCATTTCGTCCTCTTTTTCCGTATAGGAAACTGTATTTTTTTGGGAAAAAAATTGTCTTTAAAATAATTTTGGTGTAGGAGGACGTAAGGAAGGGCTGTTTTTTCTCGACTAGACTTTGTTGTAGCCTTATTAATTGCTCAATTTTGACGTGGAGCACGTTATGATATTTTGTTTTCTTGCCATGCATGGAATTGTAGAAAACCCAGAGTGGGGGACCATGGACCACGGCCGATCCGCGGCTCATGATGCCCCATCAGGAATGATGCCACGACATTCTTTTTTCTTTTACAGTTGAGCTCATTTATGAAGTCGAACTAGGGGAAACAAACGAAACTCGAACAATTTCCCGGTCCGATTATCACATCTTGCGTTTCTTAACCTGCTTTCAAGGGTCAAGTCATGGTAGGAATTAATCTTCAGTGACGAAAAACGGGTGTATAATTCCCCCCCGAAAGGCAACACGCCGTAATCGTCGGTGCTGCAACTTGACTCGAAAGGATGCGCTCCAAGACTCGAACGTGGAATTCCTCTCTCTCACCCCGTAATCTGTAGAACCAACCCTGCCCTGGTAATTAATGTCTGCCGGATCTATTCGCATGTTCTGTAACCATCCGTTGAATTGACAGGTTTAATTAGGGATCTATTATGATATATAAATATGACATATTCTAGTTTGGGGGCTGGGGAACAATGCATTTCAAATATAATACAAATCAGAGGGTCGGGCGTTAATTTGCAACTTTTTGGTGCCATTTCATGGAATCACCAATGTAGACTAGCGTATGCTGCAATACCAACAGCAACATTAGATCGATTATATTTTTGCATTATTATGTTTTCGCAGTCGCCAGCAAGCAGAAACAGTAAGCTGGGGAGATCCGTAAATGATGGTAATTATAGTCATTAAAGCCTGAGATCTGTCTTCTTTTCCATTGAAAGAGAAGCTGTGAAGTCTGCTGCTGGAAAGCCGCATGCTGATTCGTTCCAAGCCGCTCTCGTACATTCATAAACCAGTCGAACGTACTGTTCTACTCACGCCTCAACCTGTGAATTTGCAACGTTAACCCGAACGTCCATGTTCAGGTCCATGTCTTACGAGATTATCAGTCCGAACTGGTGGAATATTTTCTTACCATTAACATATTCCTGAAGAAACTCCTACACTAAATTGGGGTTGAACCCCTAGTTTTATAGAACAATTTTCATGGAGGTACCCTACAACCGAAACACGATTGCTTGATATCCACAACCTGAAAGTGCTCAGATTTCATGCTCTTGCTTACTGCTTACTCTCACGCTAGAAATCTAATAGGAAATTAGCACTACGGCATGTTACATAAAATAGAGCAACTACTGGGAAATTAGTTCAATCACCAGAGCAAGAAGCGTTTGAGTCAAGTTGCACACTTCTGAAGCGTTCGAGTTTTCGTTGGTTTCCCCTACCCTGCGGATTTCACGAATGATACCAGGTGATCACCAGGTAACAGAAATTCATGGGCGGCTCATGATATTCAGCAGTAATGGATCGTCAATGGGGTTGGGTAAGCCACGGGCCTACGTAATTGATCCATTATTGCTGAATATCACGACCCAGCAAACAAGGCTACGTTGGACCAACGTTGTATCAAGGTCCCGAACGTTCATTCAATATTGATTCAACGTTATGTGTTTCAAATTGTTTGCTGGGGAGCCACCACGGCAGAAATTCTAATATCGAGCGTAGGGTAGATGGGGGTCAGGAAGAATATATTTCCAACAGTACACTCTACCTTTAGTGGGAGATGTATCGCAGAAAAGTCTTAACTGCAATGCCCTTTCACCGAATTCCTAGATGCGGTTATGGGATACGATTAAAGTGCACTTGTTTCATCCCCTTGAGTAGAGATAAGAAAGGTTTCAGGTGTACCCAACTCCTGATAAATGAATGGGCTATATACAGGGTGTTCCATTTAAAACGCAACCCAAAGTACAACGGCAATAAAACAAGACAAACGAGTTGTTTGATAGTTTTTATTTGTTATGAAGAATATTACAGAAACGTACAGAACAGCTTCACAGCAGATGCTGAAAATGTTCACCACCTTCTCGAAGTCAAGACAAGACAAGACTTCATTTTGTACCGTTGTACATGATTGTTGTTGGGTTGCGTTTTAAATGGAATACACTGTACTACGTCCTTGAACGGAGATGGGGAAAATGATTCCCTGGTCTGGGGTTCAATATGTATAGAGAATGCCGGAATCATGGCCAAAGGTTAGCAAACTGGAATATATCCATACCCAAATATCGTGTTTTAGGATTGATTTTTACACTCGTTTACGTGCTTCGTGCGTTTCTACAGGCTCTAACATCAAGTTGTGCGATAAGCTCCCTCACTCGAAGAGGGATGTTGTTCCATCGGCTTCACTCATTGGTATACCTCTTCGCAATTAGTGATGATTGCATTCTAGATATCTCTCCAGCACCGTTGACAACAGCCCCAGGGAAGGGAAGGGCAAGTCAGGTGGGTAAAAGTCAATCCGGAAGTATTGTTCTGCCTTGAATCAAACCGACAAACCGATCAGCGCCCTCTACACATCGCAAGACGGAGCTTGTATGCAACATGGTTGCATCCAGTGGCATTGGTCAAGTTGACATGAGGAAATCAATTTAGGAAAATGGAAAACCTGAAACGAGTCAAGTAAGCTGCATTCTTTGCTCTCTTGCAGATTTTGACTTCGCGCTAACTTAGACCTGTCATAGGCCAAACTCGTAAGTTAGGCCTCTTGCTCATGATGGGCTTTTTTTGCACGAATCCGACGTTTCCACTTGAACATCAATATATCAGATAGGCTATCATCACGATTATTGACCTATTTCACCAATCTTGGGCTCAAGCGAGACTGCAAAACTCAGTCACAGTAGGTGATAGGTCGGGAGTGTAGTAGGTATTTTTAGTTTACCCCTGTAAGATCTTTTGCATGACCTTTTGCAACCCCGTGTAAAGGTCACCGGGAAGGAGGAGGAGGAAGAATGATGCCCGTTCTGAACACCAAAGACGTGTCCGACTGGCTACTTCGTTCCGGAGGTTGGAAACTCTCCTGCCCAGCCCTGACTCCTCAGTTCCTCGAAGTAGAGCATCAGTCTTGGATGCTGCTGCTGATTACATCATCTCCCTGAAAGAAGAGAACCGGAAAGTATTGGAAAGAAGGCTTTCAAATGAAGGTGCAAAATGAAACCTCTTGACTTCTATTTTTTGTTCTGTATTTTCAGTGGAGGGGACTAGACACTAATGTATACTATACTCATATACTAGGGGTGTTATAGTATGGCTTGTGGGCTGGATTCATTGCATTGTTTTGCATTCAAGAGAATAAAATCCATGGTGGATTTTACCCCAAGTATCCTCATTAAATTTCTCATTTATAAAGGAAATTTTCTAAAATATTTATTTTTTGGCCATCCATCCTACACCATTAATTTTATTTCCAATGTGATCAGCCTCTGAAACTTTGGACACCCCTATTAATAACAAAGTTAGATGACACTGCCAAGCTGAGATAATTTTCATTGATTTCCATTCATTTTTTGGTTGTTAAAAGAAGTCTGTAAGTCCTGTCCCTTGGGTGCTACATAAACAGGGAAGATTCTAGTGCCATAGCAGAAAGAGATACAGTAATATATCTTAGCCAGTAAAGTTTGCTTGATGGAGAGGTGTGGCATGTGCCCTTGGTAACATATTAATGTGTTTCATGTTCAAGTTGCTGGTTGTTTGTCTATAATTTTGCTCCATATAGTATGATAGAATTAAGAGAATCCTAAATTTATGCCACCAAAGTTTGAGGTAAAGGCAAAGAAGCAGAGTACCAAATGGATCTGTCATTCAATGCCTCTGTTGTTCTAATGAACCAATATGATAGGTCTTGCATGATGTCCCATTTACTGGTGATATCTTTTCCTAAGTAGGTTCAGGAGGGGCTTGTTGGAAGTGAAATTTAATCAAATTGGGGATAGGAGATCCTGGCAGGATGTCTCGATAGTGATTTAGATGAAGCATTTCTGTCATGATTGGGTGGGTTCAAAAGCAGTGACAGATATCCGTAGAACTTGGATTGAGAGTTGATAGGCCTAAAATTGAGAGGGGGAGTAAGGGTGTTCCAAAAGAAACTACCCCAATGTTTGTCAGTTTATAGTAAGACTCTATGGTAATTCATACATTTTTGATTACTCAGGTTATTAGTGTCATGCACCTGCCTTAGCAGCCAAAGATGGGGTGTTAAGTGTCATAGGAATCTTCAACCTGAGCCAAACAAGAGAGTTGTGGGGCAGGAGTATAGTGGTTGCAAATGGAGTGTAACTTAGGTCTAGGTTCTGATTGGAAAGTCTGTCCATATGTTGACTGATAGGATATATATTTCCAGCTTTGTCAGGAATCCATACATATTGATATGGCTTCCTGTCCAACCTCCACATCAAGGAGACATTGGAGATCAGCAGATATGAGCATATAGATGGTGATGATTCACACTCCCTGTAGGACTTGACGTTTTTAAGGATGTAGTGGTAGAATGGTGCTGACCCTTCCTCAGGAAAGGGTCAGCACTTTTTCTGTAAGGTGGTATTGCTTCATCTCTTCTAAAGCATCTGTTCAGTCCTGGCTATGCCTTTCCTTTTCATCATATTTTTGCAATTCTGGACACCAATTTTAGGCATGATGCATACATACCTATTAACTTTTGAGTACTGAAGTTTACCCTGTTCTAAGCATCAGTCACCAGTGTTGGGTGATAACAAAGTAAAAGTAATGCATTACATTAACTAATTACTTTCTTCAGTAACTTTTTTTTGGTAACAAGTTACTTTTCAAGGGAGAGTAACAGAACTGGTGACTAGTTCTTTTTTCATGGGAAAAGTATGTTGCATTACTGTATCACATTCCTTTGCTTGATTACTAACTAATTTTGCTGAAAACAGCCAGCGCTTCATGACAACATGCATTCTAATTTATGCAAAATTGAGCAGAAATGCGGGGACATGAAATTGCCTTGAGAAAGCATGGTTTTTTCAGTGCAGGTTTCTTGGCCATACCTGCAAAATATTTCAAAGTGCAGGAGGTTAGGAATGAGTTTGAGTTTCATTGATGTAAACTTATGTGTGAAGTGCCCTTTATGTTTACTGATGACCAAGGTACTTTCCGTCCCATGAACTTCAACATTTAATTTGGGAAAACATGTCTAGATGAGCTCCATTGTGTCCTGACTCCATCCAGACAACCTTTGGTTTAACGTTTGGTCTTAACCACTTAACTGGGAAGTTTTTCATGAAATGCATTTTAACCTATGGGAGGTCAGATGTCTAAAGACTCAGTAAAGGGGTTAATGATATGTGTTGCTTTGGTTCTGCTAGTGCATCTGCACAGAAACCTTTCGTATGCCTAACTTTGGCACCTCTCATCAATTTTGTCTGATCCTCTTTAGGCTTGGTGGATGGGTAGACCCTAGCTGCCTCCCTATATTTCAAGTGCCCCGTTTTATCACCTTCCCAACAATCCATCTTTAGTTAGACTCTGTTAATACTTGGAAGTCTGAGTGCTTGGCCTAAGTATGGAACCTAATTTAACATAGAGTGATTTGCAAGTGAATTTGTACTGCTTGTAACATGAATGCCTCAGACACTAGTCCCCACATGGTCAGAAAACCCTCATCTCCTTGATTGCACCATAAAAATACCATGTACATTGCAAAAAGTTAGTGAAAATTCATTTCAATCACTGTATCTGTGTCTGTGCACTGGATTTGTGCAGTCTGTGTCTGGTTTAGGGGAAACAAGAGAACATGACTTTAGTTTTTTCTATTTGGCAAAATTGGCATTTCTTAAAACTAAAGGGTGCATTCTGACCATCAACATGTAATTCCTGTTAAGTAGCCCATGGGAAGGGAAGAGGCACAGGGAAAAGAGAGAGCATGAGTATTGATCCAGTTTGATGGTAATCATAATTCAATTTTCATGAAATTAGGGATAACTTTTGCTTCTGTGCATGCATCCAGCTTCTGTCAGAGAGGTGGAGAAGCTATAAAATGATTAGAATTTTTGCTCAGGAGAAGTAACTAGAAAAGTAACTTCTACTTGTAAGCAGGCTAGGAAAACCCTTGCAAACCTGTAAACAAGGTTCACAGGAACAGAGGATCACAGGTGAGTGGCTCACCTAGTCCACTTGCATGTTCTTCCCAGGAAATTCCAATTTGTCGCCTCAGGTTCGCAGGAAAAAATTTTGTTTTTCCTACACTGCTTGTAACTAGTTACTTTTGGTGAGAAGTAATTCTACTGGTAACTAATTACTTTTAGGATGGAATACTTTTAATTGTAACTAGTTACTTTTCACAAGTAACATGCCCAACACTGTCAGTCACATATGGATTTCATGTATGCCACTATGCCAATTTCATTGTTATGATACATTACAGGCTTTTGATAATCAGAAATGTCCATTTTAATGGATTCATTAAGTCATTCATGGAATGACATTCCACCAATTACATCCAAATGCAGTGACTTCACCTGACATGTACTCATTACTCAAAGGGTTCTTCCAAATTATAGTCAGTGATTATGCTATAGTAAGGGACTTATTATGCATCTGCCTAAGAGTGTTGTTTACCATAATTACGACTACCACCAAGAGAATTTCAGATGGAGTTGCTCTAGTATTTGCAGGATTTATGAAAGTTCAACTATGTGAACTGAACTGTGAACTGCTTAATATGATTTGTTTTAGTGAATGTCCTGAAGTCACATGAGGATAGGATTCATTCCCTTGAACGCCGAATATCTCACCTGACCAATGAATTAGATAGACGAAGGCAGCAAGATCCTTCTCCAGCTCCACCTAGTGTCATTATATGCACCAATGGTCAAGGTAAGCTTGATGGTAATTTTTTTTGTCTTTGGAGAGATGCTGGGGTAATAGTTTTACTTGTTTATGCATAATTGGCTCTCTTTATATTAGGCCCTCAGTCAGCAGTGATCACAGAGCTTGGCCCACCTTTCTCTTCAAGCAAAATTACCAAAGGGAGTAAGAACACATCAAAAAGGATCAGGAAAGTCTCATCCAAATCCCCTTCAAAAGAACTTAATGCATTCAAAGAGGCAGAGAAGCAGAGACCTGAAAATATTAGAACAGAAGTACCTGAGGAGCCTGTGGTGAAAGCTAGGGTGAAGTCACCAGAAGCACAGTCCAACCCCCCATCTTATGCAACAAATTGCAGGACATCTTTCATCATCCTAAATGCCAATCTAAATTCTGGACATGTCTTGCCCATGTTGATGCAGCAATCTCAACCACTGCATGTTCCTGTTAGTTCATATGCACAGAATCGCCTTCTGGTGCCCAGAGGCACAGTGGTTGATCCACCAAAAGACATAGTACTGCCCCTGAAGGGGAATCTACGTGGCAAGAGGAAGAAGCCAATGAAGGCCCCATCTCCCATTACAAATGAGGCTACAAATGAAGTGGATCTTGCTGAAGCAGCCAAATCAATCCTTGCATTAGAGCAGTTTTCTACAGATAGTGGGGATTCAAGTATTGACAGTGATCAAGAACCACATGATCCAAAAAGGACCAAAGACTCCAATCCAGAAACTATTCACAGAGAATGCAGCCAGAATCAGCCAGATCAGAATGTTTCAACCACATCCTCTCATCAAGAGAAGACAGAACCAAAGAGTGCAATTAAACAAGCCAATGACATGCCTGCAAGTGAAGGCATAAATGGATCCTCAAACATTGGAGGAATTATTAGCCATTCTGCCACTGGAAATGTGATGGTGACTGGAGAATCCAAGAAGTACTACTCCAGTGTTGTTTCCTCTTCTGAATCAAATCTTGTTCAAGTTCAAAGTCAATCTCAAGTTCAAAGAGTGATGAATGATGGTGGAACCACAGCACAAAGTTCTGGAAATTGGACCTGGAGCACCAGGAACAATTTTACTAACTTGGGCACCAATACTATCAGTACATACTCCGGTATGAGTGGGGCATCCTCCAGTCTACCTTCAGGTGCCATGAATATATCTCTTGAAAGAGATGCAATAAAGAAGCAACAAGCAACAAAAGAACCTCTTGAAAATAGTACAGGTCAAGGCCTCCAACAGAACAATGAGAAATCAAAGTCAGTGGAGAATCAAAAGGAGAAAAGTATCAAGGCTCAAAGGCCACCAGTCCAGACTCTGAATTCCAATACCCATGCTCGAGTTGTGCAACTTCCTCCATTTGCAGATATTGGGCATTCCAATCCTTGGGATGTGTCTCAAGCATCAGTGACAACACCCAGTTCAGACACCTGGCTTCCAAATCTGTCATGGCCAATTAATTCATCCATTGCCCCATCAACAACAACCAGTCAAGTAACATGGGCCACCAAGACTTGGAATAATACAGATTCATCTCTTTCCTTCTTCCCTCGTATCAATTCCGATGAACGGAGAGTAAATCCTCAGTGCCAAGCGATCCGAAGCTCCTATAACCCATGTGCTGTGAACAAGAAGCAAGGACCATCAGACACGCAACTCCCAACTTCTGGTCAGGTGCCTCAGTTCACCAATTTTCACGCTGAGAAGAATTTTGGTGACATCCACCCCCAACATATGACCAAGGCTCATTCTTACAACATGGCCAATGTGACAGGTTCACGCAACCAGCATCCTAATATTGCCAAGCCTGGTGAAGCTGGTATTGTGCAAGCAAATTTAGCTAATAAAGATTCACAGAAGCAGCCTCAACAGCAGAGTGTGTTCTCTGTACGTCAGCTGGTGGAATCTCCAGTGGAATCAGGGAAGATCACAAGCAGTAAGACTCCAACACATGAGATATCCCAACGCCACTCCAGAAACTCTTCACCAGGCAGCTCTGCAGGACAGCAACCCAGTGATAAAGAAGGCATTCATTACACAGCTGGGACCAAGGGCCCAAGTTCTTCCACTTCTAAATCAGGACACAGTCAGTTTAAGGCCAATGGTGGAAAGATGGGCTATTCAGCTGAATCACTTGTCTCTGGTGCTAAAGGACATCAATCACTGAGAAACTCGCATCAGTCACGTCATGTTTCTGATTACAATGCACCTGAGAATAATGAAGCATTCCATAATAACTATTACCCTACTCAAGGATGTCAAGGAGGAAGTTCCTATCGCTACAATTCATCTTCAACCCAGTTTCAGAACTTTGCTAGTCATCCTTATCCATCCCCAAGTGCTCCTCCATGGACTCCTTGGAATAACTCTACCTTCTTCATGCACCAGGGTCATCAGAACCCCTGCTCCATGATCTCATCATCAAATTTAAGTCCTGTTCACGACAACAACTATAACTCATACATTGGACATACCTATCAGCACAGTTCTGCTCCACATCCCAATACAAGCAATACTAACAACAACATCCAACCACTTCATCGGTCCCGTTCTGGACAGGAAGGGCGAACAGGTCGAAACCAGAATCCAACAATGCATGCTCCAACTTTGGATTTGGACATCTTTCAAGAGGTGGGAACAAATCGTTACAACTTGGACATGAATATACAGGATCAGCCAGCCAAGAAGCCTTTTAAGGACAAAGAAAGTGGACAACAGTCCCATGGAGTCCTGAACCCATTTGTGGAGGGGTTGTCCAATATGTTAGATCAGAGTTCATATAATAATTACATGTACCTAGGTTTTCCTGCTCTCACACCTCCAGGGGAAGATTCCCCTATGGGGAACATCTTGAATACACCTACTAAGCAACAGCAACCGCAGACTCAAACACAACAGCAATGTCTTGGTCAGGACAAAAACCTATCATTTGCAGCAGGAGGATCCAAAGAAAGTGATGCTCAAAGACGGGCCAGTGATCCAGGCACCTCCCAGATGGATACAAGCAATCAAACTTTCACCAATTTCAACCTCTCAAATCTTTTCCCTGAAATGGGTGGAAACAAGGCAAGTGTTTTTTTCCTAAGTCAGTTTTACTTTTTTGTTGTGTTTTGAAAGTCAGTATTGAATATTGGCCATAGGATTGGCATGTCATAATCAACCCAGAGCAAGCTTTTTCATGCATGACCCCAAAAATCATGATCATACCATTCAGGACCCCAAGCACTGGCAGAAGGTCAACAGGCTCTCCCACCTCTGCACTAAAATTGCAAATAAAAACATAACTTGGCTTTTAGTTGCAAATTCCCAACCCCAAAGATGATCTCAGCAACCCCAAATGGGGTCGCACCCCATGGGTTGGGAAGCCCTGACCTTATTGCCTTTTTCTCTTTTCATGCAAGTGAATGGGAGACCAAGATATATTTTAAGCTTTAACCACTTTTTATATTAAATTATTATTTTAGGTAAATGTTTGAAAACACAAGTTTTACACTGCTCACTTTGCATCAATTTGTTAATTTATGGGAATAGAGATTTTTGACCATCTTTTTGAAATTGGTAAATTTTCAAGTCATGGTTTCACCCAATAGGGTGCCAGTATGGGAAATGCTCGAGAAGTTAAAGGTTCCCGGAATGCCTATCAGATCACGTCACAGGAACAGGACCTCTGTGGATGAGCCTTCTTGCATTCGTCATCTTTTTGTTGGATGAAGTGTTTCATGGGACAAACAGAATAATAAAAGTCTTTTTATTTTCCCTTTGTGTTATACATGGGAATTTTCTATAGCAAAATTGACTACTAGAGAATGACAAAAAGAACTGCCAGAAAAGAATAATCAGGATACCAGTCCATACAAATGTTGCCCCTCTCAGTGAAAGACTCACTTGGATACCATATCACAACATGAAAAAGAAAACTAGCTCCAGGGTGCATCAGGGCAAGAGATGAGATACGTAAGAGGTGCAAGGGTGACACTGAGATAGCTCAAAACTTAATGTGATCCACCTCATATCTTCAGAAAAAAAAAGTGAGATCAAAACCATAGAGCCACACCAGAATGTTCCCATCACCCTGCCTTCAACACTTGTTTCCTATAACAGACTAACATATCAAATACCCAATAATAGCTAATCAATCAACAAGCTAATCAGACAGCACACTTCTTGTCTTCCTTTTGCACTTCATCATAAAAAATTAGGAATTCAGACAGTAGGAATTTGACCTATGGATCATAAGAGTGGAAAAGGAGAGGTGTAAGGAGGCATGGACAAACTGGCAGGATAAGGATCAGGGATAGGATGGGGATATGAAATGCAACGGCGAAAGCAGATAGGCTTTCATAAGCCACTCGCTCTTCACTCATTCTCTCAATAGTGGAAGGGGACGGTCCTCAGAGCATCCTCCGTACTCCGAGTCCGAGCTACGCTCTGCAACAAGAAAATCATCAAACTGTTCATAATCTCCAAAAGACACAAATAATTCCCAAACTCCTATTACTACTCCTAGCAATGACCTGTAAGAAAAGCAACATGAAAATTAAACACTGGTTCATAGACCTAGTTCAACATTAAAACACAATTGTAACTGCTGGATGTACATTTTTATTGTCTTGGACCTTCAAGTCATGGGTCCCACAGTCAATGGATGAAAAGCAGGAGTAAAGAATATCTTCAACAATGCAAAGAAATACATGGAAGCCTTCTGCAACATACTGCACCATCACATCCCCAGGTAAAGGATAAAATAGATCAGGTCAGTATTTTTTAAGCTAAGAAAGCAAGCAGGAAGGCAAAGGTTGAGTCAGAAGGAGCATAGAGCTCTGCTGGAATGCCTTGAATCAAAGGGTAAAATGGATGAAATGGAAATGATGAAAATGGAAGTCAGGGTCAATTGACAGGGATGCAAGCATCAGGGGCCTCAAAAGCATCATCACTCTCTCCCTCTTCAATGGGGTTTGTTCCCAGGCCAACATCAACTGTGATTATGTTGAGATTATCCTCCTCTGTCCCGGTTCTCAAGGCCTGGAATGATAAACCAATTGGGACATTTCTTAAATCCATCACCTAAACTCTCACAATATATGCTGCACTCCACAACCAATTGTGTTGTTGGGCAACAAAGACTTTCCTGCATACCTGCCATTTCAAGGATCACTTCACATATTTGGGTTAGCAACATAAATTTTTTAAGGTTTTTTATTTTGAAGAAGAAATTCAAAATTCTGTTACTGAAGAAGTCTACCACCAAGTGACTAGTACATGTTCCATCAAAACATAAGTGACCTTGACACATGGTCAAATTTCTCAACAAACACAAAAATGTTTATGCACTAGAATAGCTTATTGTCTGTGTAGAGCTACCACCAGTAAAACTTCTTGGAATTTTCCCTCAGAAAGCATCTCCTCCAGTTTTTTCAGCTTGCTTGAATCCACAAAACCCAATTAATTTCCATGCAAATTTATTTTCCAGCAGCCCAAATTCCCATGCCTGGCTATGATAATCCATAATGGCATTTCATTGTCCTGTGTTGAAGCACCAGACAAGATGAACATTTCAGAGATATACAAATTATCAATACACTTATATGTTTGAATAAAACATGACCTACATAGGATAGAAACTTGGAGTTTGCAGGGAGCATCATGTACACTAACATCACAAGTTTATTCATGCAGTCTTGCTGTTACATCATCACTTCCACATGGGCACCATTAGTGGCTCAAACCATGTCCAAGCAATCATCAATTTCTGCCCATTTATACACCAGCATCCAAATTCACAATATTCATCTTGCAAACAATGGATTTCACATATACCTGCAAGGGCTAAATGGGGATATATCCCCTTCCCCAGAAGAAGATAAACTCCCATTGTAGCTGATTTGAACTCTGTGGCACAAAATACAATGTGCTTTCTCCTGAATTGTCATTGTCTTACCAGCTGGTTCCAATTACTGTAAAGAGATAATAATAAAAATTTCACTAGCACAAACTTGAGATGTCTGACTACAACATGCTTAAAACTCCACTTTTCTAATATCGTTCCAATGTTATTCAAAAATGAAAGTGTACCACGTAGCCATGTTGACCACATGTCAAGAAAACCCTTTACAATCTGGACTGAATCTAAGAAACTGTCACATGGGATACAATATATACACTGATGGAACATTATGACCACATCAGCTACAATGGATGACCTGGTGCAGTTCTTTGCTCACACATCTGTGAATGGGCTGCACCTGTGCGACTGCTTTTGAGACCAAAACATAACATGTTTTTTGGACATATGGGATAGCTTGGCTGAATGAAAGACTGAATGAGAGCAACTATAAAACAGAACTCATTAAACTTCACACAACACAACCCAGAGATTCAAAGGAAACAGTAGAAAAAACATAAGGTCAAGCTTTCCAAACCATGAGGAAAGCATCAAAATCCATGAGAGACAGAATTAACAGCAAAACTTCTTGCACATGAATGTCCCTTCAGAAGGATTCAGTTTCACTGACTAATCAAGACCACAAAGATAATACATTTATTCATTATTATATGATATGAAAGGTTATTCTTTGAGTTACTTTCATTGTAACCAAAGCTATAAATTTAAATATTTGTATCTTTCATATTTCATCTCATTGCATTGGATATTCCATGTTATGCCTCTATATGACATCAGATGCTCATGATTATGAACTGAAAGACAGCTTCAAATATACAGGCCAAGCATACTTCAATCTAAATTTGAATCTGATTGGATTAGAGACTGAATTACCAATAAATTCATTGAATTTTAATCTGTTCAAATTTCTGTCGCTTGGTCAGGCAAAGAAAATCCCATCTAGTGCAAGGTCACCCGCCAGATGCAGACATCATTCTTAATGCACAACATGACATGATTGCAGTTACCACCATTTTTACCTGATTCCAACCAACAATTGGTTTTCATTTTTGGGTACTTTTCAGATACTGAAAATATATGACAATGGCATCATTCAGCTTAAGCAGAATTCATTAGAGGGATTTGAAATCAACTTACATTTTCTTATTTCACTATTCAATCAATTGACATAAAAATGGGCAGCATTAACAAAAATTTTCAAGTTAAAGGAATGCTTCACACCAAGAGAAGAAAATATGTTTTCAGACCACCTCTCATCTTTCTCTTTAAGGGTTCCATCAGAGAAACAGCTTCTATCTTTTTCCCATGAGAAAAAAGGCCTAGCAGTCAGGATATAGATCAAACAAAAGTACTATAGTACTTATGATAATTATGATGACAAGTTTGCTAAGGAATGATGATGCAATTCACATTGAATACAACAGCCTGAATAATTGACTACTTGCCACTGCTACAGGCAAAAGGCTATACTGATGCCAGCATATCAGTTATAAATGGCTTGAGTCTCAAAGAAGCAATGCTAAAAAATCATTTCCAAATACATGTGTGATTGAGCTTCTTGATTACAAAGAAGAGATCAATGACATTGGTTGGCCTGTTACATCATATTCTCTTTTTTTAGCTCTGATCAGTGAGTTTGGGGCTAGTGCAACACAATCCATGCCGTAGTTGCCTTTGCAGCACTTTCCAGTCAATATAAACTTATACAGGCAACTGGAAGATAAAAAAAAATCACCTCACTTACCTATTATTCATCACATATCCAAGCACCACTGTCAAGAATGTCAATTTTTGCATCTTGCAAAATATCATGTCCTCTTGAAATCATCATCTTCAACATCTCTTTTCGGAATTAAGACTCATGAAAATCCTTCTGAATGATTCACCTTACAAATGTCATGCTCAGAGTTAACATTCTCATACTCTCCAGATGTGATAAGAAACAAAGATGGTCTTGCTCAAAACACAAGAATGGAGAACTTTAATGCAAAAGAATCACAGGCTAATAAGGCTACAATGTCCTTTCTACTACTATTATGGGTGACATAGCAAGAACTGGTTCAATTCAGCCTTAACTGACCCCAATTACTATCAATCAGATTAATACAGTTGTAAAATATGCCCATAACAGTCCATTAAAAAACAGTTGTACTGTTTATACCCTTTGGTCCAGAGCATGCCTTCTTCAGTCACTTTTTCTATTAACTTATGTCTAATAAAGAATTTCCTTGCTAGGATTGGTCCATAGGAAATGGAACCATGACTCGCATGACACTCACTAGAAAATTCTTAGAAGACTAAATGCAGTGAAATCATGGGGTCTTGTTAGACTTTTGATGAATCTAACAGCGGAATTCTCCTCGGAAAACTGGAGAATGCTCTTCCAGAGGAAAAGTACATCAGACTTGCACATGCTCTGTGTGCATAGCCTACAGTAGAGAGAGCTCAAGGACAAATACTTCAATAGTTGACAATAACTTTCATGAAGAGTTGATGTTGTCTAGACAGGTGTCTCAGAAGCAAGGAATGTTACATGAGTGACAGTAATCTCTTCTTTCTTAATTTATGTAAGCAAGCCACCAAGCACAAGACAAAAACACCAACTGCATATTCTGAGTCCAGACAAACAAAAAAATGAGAAAGATACTGTTGAACTTAATCTAACTCAATTGGCAAGATGTTTAAGATTTTAGACCTTGAATGTGACCACTCATCTAAGTTCATACAGAATGGAAGCATTTCAAAAACATGAATGGCTATTTTTTTAGGTTTGAAAGATGACTATCTAGAAATCTCTAATTCATTTATAGCTACAGAGTTGGTAATAATAAAAAAATTAAGCAGCTCAAAAATAAAATTTATATTTTTTAAACTCACACCATAAAATTTCATAACATTTGCAAGGGAATGCCTGAAATTTCATGCACTATGTGAAATTTTCAGATGGTGGAAAACACACAACATCCTCTTAACACAGTCACGCCCAGTGACTGCAGAACAATATGGGTTTAAAAACGTGATATTATGGTTCCCAGCATAACAATGATCCATCCATAGGTACTGATTATTTAGGCTAAAATTGAATGTGAACTTGTTCCTTGCAAATCACATACCTGTTCACTCTGAATTTTGAAAAATTTGACAAAATCTGCCTTAACTCAAGTAGGGGTAGCTAAGGGTGCATGACATTTTAGGAAGTATTGAACATATTACACAATGTTCTATTAATCTTTTGTCTGGCAAAGATTGATTTTATAGCCAAATTTTGAGTGCCTTACTTCTTTTTTGACCAACCCTGTATATTTTCAACACAATAAAAAGAAAATAATTACAAAGTTGAGGTGGTTTACTACTACATCTGACATGGGTCTATACCAAACCTTATAATAAGCTACATTGGAGGTAGCTCTCATTTCGAGTTATAGTAAATGCATATGACATATGCAATTGATTTAATTACTGCAGGGATGAACACAAATCAAGACTTGCTTTTCATGATACAAAATTACTTTCAAAAGAACACATGCAAAATGCAAAAGAACAAAAACCTACAGATAGGTTATATGTAAAAGAGGAAACTGTTGACCAAAGCTCAAACAGCATGCAGAGGTACAGGCAAGTATTATTTGAGAAAGACTTACGGTAGGCTTAGGTCTGTGAGTATCAACTGCTTCAACGTTCAAGTGAATGTATTCCAGACGACATCCATAGGCCACCGGAGTGAGCTTGATCACAGCGTGCAGTGGGACCTTCATGTATGGTAGCTCCTCTGAAATATCATTCATATACAAGTTTTACACACAACATGGCCAACCAAAAAAGGACTTAGGAACAACTATTGGTTTCATCCCTTCAACAGCCCTCTTGGCTTCTAAGTTGAGCTACTTTTAGCTCTTTACCACCTCTTCCTTATATTTCATGTATATGCCTTTTTTTTGGCATCAAGATTCTAAAAGATCTATGTGTGTATCAGCTTCATACATCAGGCTGATGCATGCTAATCATCCCAATTAGCCTAAAGCAATCAAATGCTCTCACAACTTCTTGAAATTAGTTTCAGAGATTCCATCTTGGCACTGCCTTGCAGTTAAACTCTCAACAGCTCTATAGTGGAGATGTTTGAGGGGAAGAGATAAGAGATCTGGCATCATCAATGGCATCACCCTTTTCCCCCATTCCTCAGCCAATCTGCAAGTTTTCTCTGCAGTGCCTCATTCTATGACATTGAAACTTTTCTAGATTTTTCTACAAGATTTCGGAGTTTTCCTGCCAGGTTTCATCAATAAAATCCTTCTAGGTGAATTATTTGAGCAATTAGTATGACCTCATAGCTGCTCCTGAAATTGGAGTGTCAGCAAGTTTTCTCCATGAATATTCATCCCACACCCTTGAAACTCTAATTGATTTAATGGTACACAAGCTTATGTATCAAATTTCATAAAGATTGTTCAGCTCCTTTTTAGTCATACTTATTTTTTGGCATTGAGTATAAATTGGAAGGTAATCATACCAGGAGACTTCTCCATAAAGTATGCCAAAAGACAACGCATGACAGCCTGATGACACACCACCAACACATTCTCTTGACGCTCCAACTCCATGATCACTGGTTCAAGGCGTCCCACTAAGTCTTCATATGACTGAAAGAACAAATAAAGAGTGGCTCAAACTTCTACCACTTTTTCATCCCTCCAAAATGGATGATGCTCCAAACCTCTCCTTTGGGGTATCGGTAGTGAAACTTGTCACCGTCTCGAGAGGCAAACTCTGTTGGAAACTTATCTTGAATCTCTTCATATGTCAGCTCTTCGCAGATCCCCTGAAAAGAGAAAGGATACTCTAAAGACACTCCATTACAACTGACTTGGGCAAAGTGCTCATATATATTAACTAACTGCATCAATCTCATTGAGGGCCTTCCAGCGCTCCTGTGGAGCATCTATCAGTTGACCTGTCTGAATGGTTCGCTTCATCCATGATGTCCAGACACGCAAATTTGGAATGTTCTGGTTTTCAACAAATTTGGCAAGAGACTGAGCATATTGGCGCCCTCTGTGTGAAAGATCTGCATCCCCACCAATACGACCCTTCAGGTTGTGCACACTCTCCCCGTGCTGAAGAGAATATCACATATGAAAAATCAAAATACAGTATTCCAGTCAATAACTATGAAAATGCTCCCAATAGCCTTGACTTGACTTTAAAAAGCCTTCCTGCAATCAATTCACAAATGAAAGGTTTTCAACTTACTCGTGTGAGATAAATGGTCCTTGGAGTGACATGAATGTTCATCAGATAGTACACAACCCGGCTCTGAATGTGGCCAGAGTGTCGATGAACTAATACTTTCTCACCTGTTTAGAAACAGAAAGTTATAAAACAACCAATGATTCCTCCTTGCTGGACTGAATAACTGCTGAAGCATGAAAATGGTAGTAACAATGAAAATATTTTAAACTGTACAATGAAGAGGCCAAAGACAGACCTGTGTTGAAGATCTGCATGAATGAAAGATGGTTCTCTTCCTTCTCATCAAGGGTTTCATAAACTTCTCTATAATGCTCAATCCTCTTCAGGAAGTCCTGAGTTCGCTCTTCAATACCCATTTGGTGTTCCTTGTAATCAGGGCTATTCACTTTCACCTCCTGCATTTTGCAAAATTCACAAAAATGATAATGCTTTTCTTTTTAAGAACCAGTAAATACGATGTAACAAGATCAGTATCTAACACAGGTCTGTAGTATCAGCTGGCAAGATGCAAGTCATAGAAGAAAAAATTTGTCTCTAAGTTACATGCATTAGAATTGAAATATAGGTCAGTTCTAGTTCTGGATAGATTACTTGGTTATAACCAATGGTAGAACAACCAAACCATTACATGACCTAGATAATGGGGGAAAAATAACAGGCTATGGATGTAAACAAATCTGGCTAGGATGGGCCTGCTCTAAATCCTACCCTATGGCCTTCAGGAAGGAGAGTTTGACTACCAGAAATGCAAAAATTCCACTGTCACTTAGCACCGGATAAACTCTTTCTGGTTCATTGCATGTTAGTCAAAGACCATAGGAAGACAATGAAAATATATGTAAGATATGTATGAAAACTGTAAGAAGCAACAGGCATAAGAAAAGATAGCCCCCTATTCATGAGTTATAAAATTCTTGATCTGATCTTTTTTTCTTATCTGACATAACTGCCTAGAAGCATATCTCTTTCTCTATTCAGATCAAGATCTTGCGACTTCTAAAGCGTATATCCATCCATACTACCAGGTGTGACTCAAATATGATTCAAGACGAAGACTCATTTCATCAGTTGGTAGTTTTCTGGCAGCTCGACAAGATCTCTACAGTAAATGATACAGGAAAAATGCAGGCTGCTTCAAATGAGGCGCCTTTTCAATTCTACATTCGTCCACTAGAGTAGTGAAGAAGTTAGTTATCACTTCTGATAATGCACTTTATAGCTTTCTTGTTCGTCCTCCCACTCAACGAGGAACACATGGGTAATGCAGAACCACTCAAAATTCACAGACATACAAAAGACATTGTACGAAAAGTTATTTATGGCAAATCTTTTTATTATTCCAGACAGATGTGGTGAGCCTGATACATGTGTCATTCGGGAAAAAATTGAGACTTTCCTCAACCAAGTGACTGAAATTCCGGGGTATTTTATTATCTCCTATCACTAAGAATTCTAATAGCCGTGAAAAGTTATTGCAGAGCGGCAAGAAAAGCGAACAAGCTTTAAGCTCCTCCGATAGCATGGAAGGAAGTTTTTTACTCACCCGGATGTTGGCGTCGATGATTTGGGGATCGTCACAGATGGACTCCACAAAGAAGAGCTTGAAGCCCATTTTCTCTACCACGATTTCGTGGATGGTCTTCCTCCTCTCTCGGGTTGTATTAGTGGCGTCGAAGACCTATATAGAAACCAATCCTAGCATGGATAATTTTTTCACAATCTGATAAAATGAGAAATTTAATATAAAATTAGAAGTACTTACGGCAACTTCGCCGCCCTGTTCGAGCCACTTGCAAGCGGCCTCCAAGCAGTCCAAGGCACACCTGGCCCGGAACGATGCTGCTTCCGGATCGTCGTTGCTGAAGAAATCATGGCTCTTGTACTCACGATTCGTCACAGTACGGCGATACTCTCCAACATTGAAAACTGTGAAACGGGAAAACCAATAAATATACTTCTGCTCCCGATTGAAGAAAGTACTGGATCTCAAGAGCTGGAAACAAGAGCAAATTCGATGTATAAATTGAAGTAAAAGTACAGCGTATCCATGAACAGGGCCGCCCAGAGGGGAGAGAGAGGGAGGGGGAGGGGGGGGGGGGGGGGAGCGGGGACAATTTCCCCCGGGCCTTGTGATTCAAGGGGCTCCAAGGGGGTCCTCTGGAAACCAGAGGGCGGCCCATGAATACACAAAATAAGTACCACAGATCACCAAACCAGATTCCTACTGAGGCATCGTGATTGATGCCAGAAAGAGGATGCCATCTGGGTTTGTTGGGAAACGCTGTCAGCGACTTGAAGGTATGAACTTCACTTCATTTGAAGTAGTGTATTTACACTTCATTTGAAGTAGTGTATTTACCCTTCATTTGACAGCTGCGCGGAACTCCATGGCTTTGACGAATACTCGCTTTTGTTTACACATCATCAGGTGGTGAACAACTCTTTTCAGATTTCACTATAGTCAAGTTGCTGGGAATTCAGTGATATTTCAGATGAAATTACAAGAAATGAGCCACCTAAGGCTTCACAGGCCATTGTGGGTGGTTCAACTCCAAGGTCAAGGAAGTCACTAGAATGCCATGCGAGTTTTTTTTTTATGCCAGTAAAGTTCCTTCTCGCAGTCAGGTTGATTCATTCATGGATTTTCTGGCACGTAGTAAGGCTTCCTTGAATACAGATAACACGCCCGGTCATGCTGTATCGCTACAAGCTCAAGGTGGCTATAATTACAAATAAAAGTGTATGTGAATGCGCATACCCAGCCTTTCCGAGGTGCGCGCGGAGAAATGAGCCTCTCAGCTGACAGAGATCTTTACGATTTTCTACATATGAGGTGGCCCATCAAACCTACTGATAGTGATACTGGAGTAGGTATAGTCTACAGGTAGGCACAGAGTACGTATAGTCAACGTACTCTGTGCTATTCAGCTATCAATCATGCATTCCATTCCTGGTGCAGAAGAGCGCGGAAGGGCAGCTTCATTGCAAAATGAATCATTGCTGTCAATCGTGATCGAGAATCCTGGGAGGGAGGATTCCAATATCGAATCAACTATTTACTAGGTACAAGAAAGAGAAGAAAAAAACTCGCTTTTTGTGTTGATTCCGATCCAATTGAGGTAGCGGGTGAGCTTGGAGGAGATATAGGTCTTCCCCCGGGCGGGGAGACCAACCATTGCGATGACATGGGGACTGTTCACGTAATTCACTCGTTCGCCTGCAACACACACAAAAAAAGAATTGTGAGATTTCTGGGGCATTACGTTCTTGGCTTCATGGTTCATAAAAATTCTTCGCGGAAAACGCGACTCCGAGCGGAAATTTGGGTGCATGAAAGGCTTGGAAGGTTGAGAGTCAAAAGTTGGAGACGAATTTGGAGACCGTTGACAAAAATTTCAACAGGGCTCGAGGATGAGAGGGTCTTGGGGGATCGCCTACCGATTCGAACCGATGCATTGCGGCATTTCTTCTTGTGATCCCAAACCAAATCCGGTTCTGGAGCCATGTCAACGAAGACTTCGTGTATAAGTGACTGTGCAGAAGCGTACGCAGAAGCACGAGAGAGCAATAAGGGTGAGACCAGTGGCAAGTGTGGTATGGCGGGGGGCCTGGGCTGGAGACTACAGAAGAAGACCTGAAAGTCAAGCCCTCAGGCTACTTTCGAGGATCTTCCAGGCCACGCCTTCCCTCTCCAGCAATCCCATCCTCATAAACAACATCTAATCTTAACATCGGACATTTATACACACAAGAGCTAGAAATTTTTTTTTTCTCATCGCGCAATGACGTAGCCCAACGTATGACTGCTTGGCAACAACTTTTCGGGTCGATAAGGGGTGAGAGAACTCCCATACAAATGCAGCCTTCACTTTTTGCACCACTGCGCCAAGAAAGAACACGAGTTGGCGTTTTTTTACACTGCATCAGGAAAGGAGTCTCATAATTGCAGAAAAACGTGCCAAAAAATCCTGCGTGTCACAAACACGTGATGCTGCGAGAACGAGCACCACTCTATTTATGCTCTGCAATGGCGCGGAGAAGGGTCGAATCGATAGCCTCCTTTGCGACGTAGTGAAGGAAAGCGCATGCTCAAAGGGAACATGCCAAAGCGCACGTCCACTTCTTAAGTTTCACGTGTGTAGTTCCAGGGTCAAAATCAAAAACATGGTGCTCATTACATAACTTGATATAGGCTGGGGGCACGAGATAGGCCTGCGATAAACACCAACCCTTCGTAAATAAGCATACCGGTCTCATTCATAATGGATGTTCGGCGAGAAGGGTCCACAAGGGGTGAAAGACAATTTAAAAACAGAACTTGCGGACAAAAGGAACTGTTCTTCATGCATGAAGGGCACACTGAAACTTTAAACCCTTTTCAGCGACTAACCTGGATGAGTCTTCGGGAATCGATTCGCTCGCCTGGTGGCAAAAGGTGATTTGCAAGCACAGTAAGCTGCCATGTTGGTTGTGAGAAACGCCATAAAATACAGTTTTATATCTCGGTCTCCATCATCCGGTCACTGGGATCTCACGCAAAGACGACCAGGCCAAGTGGAGGGAGAGAATGTGCAGGCCCTCCTGAATGGCACCTGGTCTGAAGCCTGAATGAGACTTGGGTAGGCGCCAGGATACGGTGAAGTTCGGGTTTGGGCTACTAGGCATGTCTGGTCTGGTCTGTTCCATTCTCCTTCCCCTTCCCATCCTAGCCACCACTGCCTCCCTGTCCGTCTACATCGTGTGTCCTCTATTCAAAATGCTTCTCGGTACAGCTCTCTCGAAGTCCTCGAAAAAGTGTAGCTCGGTCGGATGACTACATGCCTCGTATTGAATTCCTAGCCTCGTCGCATAACGCAGATGATCATCGATGAAAGTTAGAAACGATCCCCTTTTCTAAGATGGCCTTCTCTCCTAACCCGAGCCTCTGTCTTCCGGTCGACATACTCCAACAAAAGCATTTTTTTGTTGAAAAATGACGGCTTTGTTCGGAAAAGTTTTAGGTTCTTTTGTTCTAATCAACGTAGCCATGAGTATAGAACGGTTGACGAATTGCCTCCAAGCAAACCATAAATGCAACTTCACATGCAGGCCAAGGATGAATGCTTCCAAATTGAAAGTCGACTAAAAAATCATCTCAAATCACTTCATTTATTTAAACATAACTTCTCTGAAAATGTTGCCTGTGCAGGGATGTGTTGAATTACTACAGAGGTGAGACGAGAACGGTCTTCCGCCATTCAAGTCCAGACAATTTTTTTTCTTCCTCATTCCTTGCGCTAACATCTGATAAGCCGAGGGAGAACGTGTAGTGATCCTCCGCCTCATAAATATACTAGGATTCAGAATGGGAAAGGATTCAAGGACGGCCACTCACTTGACTTCTACCATGAGCTGAACCTGGGAGACTTCATCGAAAACAAGTTAATAAATGCCGGGTTTGTTTTCCCTGGAGGGCATTTCCTTCGAAAGCAGGAAAATCTGAATGAAAACTAGTTTTCAAGGTGCCCTTCCTCGGGTTCAGCGTCAGAGGCGGACACGAACTTGAACTGGGGTCGTAATCAATATTGATCTACGGAGCTTTCCGAAAGCGTAGTAGCTCGCCAGTTTGGTTATTCAAATGCATGGAGAGAGAGCAGCCGAATGTTTATGGCAGTGCTTTGGCAGTGAACCGTAATCACGAAGTTAGTATTTTTTCTTTTAATTCTAGAAATAGGGTAAATGCTACGCCAGAAAGGTCTAAGGTAGGAGGCGGCATAGGGATGGAGCAAGACAGGTAATAGGTTTTTCAAAAACGAGCAGTATTTTTGCATGAAATTGTGCAAAAACAATTTAATTTAAAATTTTCCAACCAAGAGCTGAAAGCTGGAAAAATAGAGACAGAACGGGACTGCCCGAACCTCATTTTGGCAACCATGGTCACGGAACGGCATTTTTTGTCCCTTGCAGTGCTCTGGTCGCGGAATTAAAAAAAAAAGTTTTTCGTGTCTTCGGGGAGACGCTGGTTTTACTTCACAGGTGCGCGTTAAAGGGGTATTTTACAGGAACAATTATTCGTAAAAAGTAGCCTGAGTAGTAGACCAGAGTTATGATCATTTAAGAAAATAGTAAATTAGGCAATTCAAATCTTAAGAAAACCGAACCGAACACTTTCTTGGGTGAAATTAATTAAAATAGTGCCTTCCACCCTCTAACAGATGTTTTCAATGACTCGGCCATGAAAGCATCTTCAATAATAAGGGATTTCAATGATTTGCTCCCCTGAAGAGTGGAACTCACCATATCCGAACACAAAGGGCTTCAGGGAAATCAGGATTCGTCAAGCCCGAGCAAACTCGAATTTAATCTCTTTCTCTCTCTCTCTCTTAAAAAATTAAGTTTATTTAAATCAAGCTTCCCAATGCGTTAAAGTATACAGGATCCGCATTCGCAAAACGAACAATACATTTTTCATTCACAAAATTATCATTCCAAAAAGCGAAATTGCACCATATCGACTTGGAAAGATGAACAATTGTGAACTTGAGCCAAACACGAATCCTTCATAGATTCAATACCTCGAACCCGCCACAAACTTGAATCTAATTCGATAGAACCTTAACAGAACTCCTACCCCTCTAACAGAGTGTGTCGGCCTTTACAATATGTCATTAATCTCAGATTATTTTCATACACAAGGTAACTTTTAAAAAGCAGTAATTGATGATGCGTAGTTCAAAATACAGGTTAGCTGGAAAAAGAGGTTTTATGCATGCAGAATTTCGTCAAAGAGAGCAGGCGTCATATCTACGGCTAATGGAGAGGGATCGAGACACAGCGTGAAGGAGACGTAAGAGGGACCGTACACTAGGGGAGCCCTTTTTCCTTGCCAAATGAAAGAATGCCAAAAAGTCGAAGAAATGGGATCAAAGGGGGGGGGGGGGGAAAGTAGGGCTGTAGACATCTCAGTGGCCCTTTCATATTCACTCCAGGATCCAGTGTCAACCTCGACTTGACCTGGTTTCGATCTAAGTGCCCCATCATACAAGCACGAGTCATTGCGCTAGATTCAGGTTTCAATGTTCAGGGTGGGGAATAATATTAATCTCCCCCCCATCTCTCTTCTGAAAAGGTAAACAACATCTGATGGGAATTTTAGACACACCATGACTAAATGATATATTGAGAACATAGACACGCAATCAATATTCTGTATGCCCCCATTTACTTGATGAACAGCATTTTGTCTGCCAGGGTTGGGTTCCGGCAAAGTCCTGAAGAGATCAATTTATTATTAAATATCTTGCTACACTCAAGATGGAACAACAACTTTATCCGTGAGAACCATTGGGAGGCTCAGAGAACTCAGTTTGGTCTCTCACAATAGCTTCCAGGTTTCTACAGACATTAAGGTTGAAGGAGTTCCATTGCCACTCTGCATTGTCAAAAGGGTTGGAGGGATGATGCTCTGTTAACCCTGTAACTATCGATCAAACGGACCCTGATACAAAATTTAGCAATTTGTTTAGGCTGCGCCGTAAACTTGTGAAGTCCGATACTCCGATCATTTTCACGAAGACGTGGTAGTAATTAAGTAAAGTATTTTGAAGAAATCTTTCTTTGGGAAGAGAACGAAGGGAACAGAATGAAGAGAATGAATGGAACGGTCTTGCTCCAGATGAAACATCCGGAACAAGGCCGCTCCCACGCACTTATACAATGCACGATGGATGCTACACAATAATCTGTGGAGAACTCTGGCATCCTTTTGCATTTTAAAGGTCAACTTCTTCATGTGATTTCTCAAGGGAACAAACGACCCTGATTTTTTCCCCATTAGGTATTTCCTGTGCGAATCGGATTAGATGAAGATGTGCCCAATCCTAGGGTATAACCACAATAAAAATAAACGAGTACTTTGATCAGCACGAAAGTCCAGGAGGCACGCTAAGCTCAACAAGGTGTTACGAAAAAATGAAACCTTTCAGGCCTAGCCTGCACTACCTGCATTACTTATAACCCCTTACCCGTGCAAAATCTGGTTTCAATTATGGGAACACAGTTTAAATTTGGTTCAAGAAACGGGATAGGATGATCGGGTTAGCCCGCGCTTAACCCGGGTAGGTCTCCCAGCAGGAGTATTGTGGACGTGGTTGACGGACTAGGAAATGCCGACTGGAGAAATTCCCTATTAAAGGAATGATGGTGCATTGCGACCATTAGTCCGATCACCACAAGGCGTCTGCCTCTCGAGAACGTCATTTCTTCAATTGGTCTAATCTGATTCCAGCAAAGATGCACTCAAGTCAAGAGGAGACAGCTATTCTTGCTGACACCTAAGCACAGAAATATTGTTCAGGTACACTTGACGCATGCACGTAGCCGATCTGAGTTCACACCAACTCAAGCGATACCTTCAATCAGATAAATTTATGCGGTTTCTTGGTTCAGCGAACCAAGTTGTGGTAGTCCATATTCAAAATGCTCTTCAAGACACATCTCCCTGTGGGGGTCAGTCAAGCAATGTGTCTTTTCAGGTAGAATAGATGATATATATACGACTTACGTCACGATCGTGCAAGACAAGCAAATCCAAATAATACACATTAACATTTCTAGGAATGGACGCAGCGCCATCCATCACGACGGAAGCAGGAGTTAGCCGGGTTGGCATTTTCAACGAAATGCAGACTGATTTGAGCTTTACAAGATCAAATCTTTCATCTACGCAAACAAACATTTCGGTAACGCGGAGCCACCCAGAGAGTCTTCAATACCCCTCTTTAATGGGCATGGGGCATGAAAATCCTATAAGATCATAAATCCTTATAAGTCTGCCAAAAACGACTACCGGATTGAAACAAAAACACAAGATTTTTCCCAAAATACTTAACAAAACCACAGCATTCCTTTGCTTAGTTTTTTTTTTTCCTGACAGTTCTTGTTATGGGCGATTCCAATAGTTCATCTCAATCAGCAAGCTAAATAAGGATTTTATAGCGATCGACAAGCTTAATGGATCCATTCACTGGGAAAAAGGTGTGAGGTTTTCATTAACCTACGATTTTCTTTTTATTTCTCATCCACTTCAGCTGCAATACATGGAAAGTATT